TTCAATCTACCTTAATTACAATTTCAAAAAACAGTTCTTGAACTGCTAAAGAAACTATTGAATTTTTGCACTGTGTTGATATATAGTATGCTGATCTGCAACAAAGTTTCTCTCTCACAGATAACATCTCAAATTATCACTTAACTGTGATCAACTTCTACATACTAATTTATTAAACATCCTTCATCACTAAAACAAGCATAAAAATGATAGAAGTGGATATGAGTTGTGGCATGAATTGCTTCTGGAATTTTGCCTAAGTAACTTTTATGATGACAGTAATATAAGGATAATTGTGTGATCAAATAAGTAGACCAATTATGGTCATTATAAGTTTTCCCCATGATGAGGTGTGAGGAAGTGTCACAATGGTGGTTACATTGTCATAAGACTGGCAAAGACTAGATATCCATGGAACATCTTCAGTGTCAGTACCTACTTCTGGCTGCTAGAGTACATTGTGTAGCTACTACCTCATTCTAACAATACATCGAATTATATTCCAAATAAGGGGTGCATATACACAAAGAGTATACTCCCTCACAGGAATATAGGAATATTCTGATGATCTCCTGCATCATATGTTTATCTTAAAAACTCATTATAAGTACAAACATAGTAGAAAGGCCAGATTAAGATGCTTGGGATTGTTAAAAATGTCAGAGGTCAGTTTTTCTTGAATTAGATGTGCCAATCAACAGCTTCTAGACAACACTACTTATTGATAGCACTGAGCATCATTCAGAAGTGACAAGCACTGATGCAGGACTACGCCATGGACATTTTGTAAAAGCTTCTTCAAGATGTGGAAGTGAATGCCAATCAACACCATGGCTTTTTTTGTGTTCCTTGTTTTTTTCTGTCCTCATCCTACAGAAATTTAAATCCTGTCTAGCTTTTTACACTGAGAGACAACTTGGGAAAGGTCTGTATGGTGAAATATTGCTTTCCATTTGAATTTTGTCATTCTTTTAAACAGCCAAATGCAGCATCACATCATGTAATTAGAATTTTCTGTGCAATTAGAATGTGTTACAGAGTGGCTGTGTAACTTCACTGAACCTATTAACTGTTACCATGTTTGATGACAGATCTCTGATTAATTTGCAGTTACAGAATATTAACCATTAACCAGCTCTTCTATAAGAGGAATTAATTTCTTGAACTGCTGATGACACAGAATCTAAGTCCCTAACACACAAGTAAATAGATTTGCGTTAGTACAGAGACCGCACAGCCCATCATCACTATTAATTTAGTAGACTCCTGCTGTCCTTTTGATGAGGCAAGTAACACAGGATACAAAACCCTGCAATGATACAACAAAAGTCCTGCTGCTATCAGAAAAGAATACAGACCAATGAAAAAGAAAAGTCACCTGATCCAAAGATATCTCTGTCTTTTCTCTTTGATTCCAAGCACCCCAGTAATACCCTTTATCACCTTGCTCAAATACTGTAAAATCTTAGGTGTAGGAGTCAGGATTCTAAATAGCAGTAAGTTAAAGCTGACAAAGCAATTGCTCTAAGTCATCCACTTAAGAGGCTCCCCTTCCTCTGTGCCAGAATATGCTTAACACATTGGAAAGTATTACAGGCCATAGCCCCAAACCAGTTACACAGGCTCCTGGTGATTTCCCTTCAGGAAGGCATTCAAGGTACTGTCACAGCATCAGCGCATAGTGCATGAAGATGGATTTAAAGATCCAACTGAACATTTACAGTGTGTTCATGTACAATGAGTACAGTGTATCAGTGTACAAACTGACAGTGCTGTCAGCTCACTTGTAACATGCCAATCAGCACTGGCTAAAATAAGAAAAGAAAGGAAGACTACCCCCAGTGTCAGCCACAAAATAACTCAGCTAGCTCAGCTTCAGAATAACAGGAGATAAAGCATGTTTGTAAGAGAAACTAACGAATGAAAGCCTATATGACCTGAAACCAATACTTTAAAAAAAAAATTATGACCACGGAAATCTGAGTTGCACTAAGTACATATATATGAACTGTATAGTCTCAGCTATTCTTGTTGAAGCTTGCTGCTCTGACTATTTAAAAAGAAGACACAAAAAGTCCACTACAGTTTTTGGTTGTTATAGCTCAATCCTAATGTTATCCATCAAGAGTCTTACCTGTGCTTCCTATTTATGCACAGAACCACAAATTGTGTATTATCAATTGATATGCTACTGTCAAGCATGTTTCTGAGTAACAGTTTTATCATTACAGTTACTGGAATGGGACCAAGCACAGAAACACAGTGGCTATATTTATTTGAAGGTTCTTCATGCTTCATATTACATTCCAACTATAGCAGGAGAAATATGACAACCTTGTATTTTGATACAAGGCAAAAACATCAAAGGCTAAGAAGTCCAGCAGATTACACGACAGAACAAAAAAAATCAGCTCATTCATTGGGTTACTAATTTAAAATAAGAAAAAATAAATAATTATTCTCTCATCAGTATTGTTCTAGATTCAATATGAATCTTAACTCCCTTTAGCCTCCCTCGCAAAAGTAAAGGATGAAAGGAAAAAAAAAAGGTATCTGCTCCAACAGCAAAGGTGACACATTTTTCTGAGACAGATCGTTGAATCTCCTGAAGAAAATCAATTTTGATCTTTCTGCTTTGTCAGGCTCCCAAATTCCCCTTACATCCATTTCGCTGCAATTTTCTCATAGCTAACAACCATTATTTGCTCTTTCTCTGAGTGTCACGTAATTCCTATCTTCTGTACTCTAATAAAAAGAATACCCACAGAAAAAAACCATGGGAGCTCTTTTTTAGACTGAAATCCATTAGACATTTATACAGAGAAATGCTAAAATTTAATGAGAGGGTTAACGATGGTTTTGACATTATAGAAAACATAATCAAGTGTAGAAAATTGAAAACACAAGATTGGTTATTTTTTTTTATTTATATCTACATTAAAAGAAAAAGTAATAAAACTGAAGAGATTTCACTCTGGAATCAAGTGCCTGAACACAGAAAACTAAGAAGTTATAGCAGCGTTACAGAGCCCTCAGAAGTGAAGAACGGCCCACAAAATAATTTCTTCATACTTGTTGAAAGTTCTATTGTAATTTAAAACTGGATTCACTTATTTGACAGCATTATATAACACTTTATCTGGATATTTGCCTCACAGTCTTTAATGTGCTAATAAAGTGATTTAAATGGCAGTGATTGTACCAGTAATTTAACATATGCATAAAAGAACTAGTAAGTATATATTTAATCACAACTTACTACATTTTGACAAAAGGAAATATAACAAGCTGTGTGTTTGTTACAAATAGCTATACGCCCAGATCCTTTTAAATCGCAGCTCAAAAATGCTTCTTAAATAAAAAATATATAATATAATAATTCAAATTTTTCCAGCATTCCAAATAACTTTCTTCCAAATATTTTGCCCTGTGCTTTAGGCTGTCAGAAGCAAAAGAAAGTTTAGGTAAATATAAAGAGGAATGTTTTGCTCCAAGCACAGCCCAAATACATGTCTTCGTTTCATCCAAAAATTCTGATATAGCCATGATCATGCTGGTCTAAGAAATGACAGGCAAACAGCTGAACAGACACTGCATTCTTCTAAATACTGATACGTTAGGTTGTATGAAAGATTGTTGGCTGGAAGAACCAGACCATGGTATACTAGGATACAGCATTTAGACTTACCAACAAATTGTGAATGATTTCTGTACTTGGTGAGAATACTAAGATTGAAATATTTCAACATAAGTAAGATGACAACTATAATTTTTCTCATCCTCTCTCATCCAGTTCCAAATCACTTGATATACTTCTGTTTATGATTATGGAATCTTCAGAATCAGGATATTGCATTTTCTTTCTTAGCAATAAATAAATAAATAAATAAATAAATTTAAAAAATCTACTCTTTAATTAATTCAATTACAATGTGATGAATATTGGAATAAAAAACAACAAATAAAAACTCTCCTTCCATAAGAATTTTCAGATTTGTTGCAGCTAAAGCTTTGATGAAACTGTTTCTTCACAGTCTTGGTAAAGCACTGACATCTTTCGCCAGTGCAAAAGCAAATATATTAATACCTAAAAAAGAAGCTGCTGTACCTGAAGAAACACTGAATGCATATATTGAGAGAAGTACAGCATCACTTAAACTTCTATTCTAAACCATATTATGCACTATAGCTATGTTTTCCAACTCAAAAACAAACAGATCCCAAAGATGAAGAATGGAATAACTACTCCCCCTCAAAAAAACCCTGCTACATTTATCCTCTGAAACATGTTCTTCCAGATAGTAATTGAATTTCCTTACAGAAACACAGAACTTTTTCCTAATATTAATACAAAAATAGCATTCTGTCTCCATAATATTGTAGCAAGTTTTATTTGAGTGACTAAATACAGATTAAAGTACTCAGTTTCTGTTTGTCTGAGTTTGAAAATAACAATCACTCACTGAATCTATTTTCAGCAAAGTTTTTACAATTTGGTACTGATAAAGCAAAATTTAGAAAAGGAGACTGATTCACTTGTCAATTATGTAGTTTCATAAATTCACAATTGATTTCTGCTAAAATTAGAGTATTTTATAAAAATAAAATGCTTCAGTAGAGAAAAACAAATCCTGTGTTACAGTCAGTTAAGGTATTCTGCCAAGTACTGAACAACAGGTCAGCCTCAAAGGATCACAGTGCTTTGTGTCTGGTCTTCAAATGCAGCAACCATACCACTGCTCACACCAATTCAAGTAAATAGAAGGTCAAATGAAAAACATCTGACAAAAGAATAGCTACACTTCGTCTAGTTCTGAGAAGGCTGTAGAAAGAGAAAGCAAAGTTTTTGCTCTATGAAAACAAGGTTCAAACAACGGAGGGAAAAAATCTCAGGACAACATCATACCTTCCTGTAGAAAGACAAATGTATTACTAAAAATCTGGAAAATAAGCGTGTTTTTTTTTAAACAATATTTTTATTTTGTCTTATATAGTCTTACCGTTCTCTGTTAAATTTCAGAGAATGGAGGATAGCTGGTCGTTTCTGTCTGAGATTCCACAAATGGAGCGTATCATCTGCACATGCACTGACCAAAGCACCCTAGAACAGACACAAAATACGGCACATGTCACTCTTGTATGGGGTCTGTCTTATTCTCAAGTCATTCTCACTGTTAAAATGATCTCTCTGTAGAAAACAGTACAATTTATGAGAAATACTTGCTTTCTCATAAATTTCTCATAATACTTCTGTAAGAATATAAATTAAAACTCCATCAATTTAAAATGCAAATTCAAGCTTCTAACCAAAGTTATACATGCAAACTCCCACAAATTTCCATGCAAGCACAGAGATTAATGAAAAGAAGGACAGCCAGTACTTATTTCAAAAGGTGAGTATAAATGGTATAACTAAAGGAAAAAGGGACATACAAACAAATGACAATGCCAAGCATAATACAGTAGCCATATGAAGACAACATGGAGTTCACAACTGGAACTGTGAAAAGATGCAGGTAAGAGAACATAGGGACAGGTATCAAAAGGACAGGACAAAAGAGATGTAGACAAAAGGATGGTGTCTTTGCTATAGATCAGAAATACTCTGAAGTCTGGTTCTGCGTCTGATCCTCAAGAACCATACCATACAACAGCAAAGCCAAGTGAAAATGTCTGTTGAGGCAGGTATCTGCTGCTGCATCAGTAGGGTTACTATAGTTACATGTCAAATCAGATCTGATAGAAAGGCTCAATCCCTATGTGCTCCAATGGCATAGAGGAACTGGACGTTGCTCAAACAGTAGACAATGCTTTATCTTGGCAAATGGGGAGGATGTGACTGAAAGCTCAGATAATATCAACAATGATGGTTTGATAAGAAATAAAGTTCCCTTCTTGCATATCAGATTTCCTTCCTAATCCTAACAACTGTTTCTTTCAATGCTGACGTGTAAACGCAACTTATGAAAGTAAGACTTCTCTAATACAATATAATCCACGCTTTAATCATCTCCCGAAGAGCTTGGACTAATGACAGAGGTTGAATCTCCACCACAGAAATCAAAATAATCTTACATTTTACAGTTCTTGCTGGTCACAAAGGACCAGATCATTCAAATATTGGCTCCTTTTTTTCCCCAACACTTTTCCAGCCCTTTTATAAAGAATTATTTCTGAAGTTTCAGTCTTCATTCATTACTTTCAGTGGTTCAGGCACTTTTCCAAACAAGCTCAGAACAAAAATACTTCTGAGATTTAAAAAATAAACTAGCGAAACACCAAAACCCAAGCCCTTTAATTGAGAAGTTCTAATAGCTTTGAGGATTTGAAACTGTCAAAAGTGTTTTCATACATTAGGGAAGAAAACTAATGAAAACTGAACTAAGACTATGCCATAATTTTGTCAAGTTATGAGATACTGAAAACAATCTGCTGAGTAGATTTATAGGCTCAGCAAGTCTTCTTGAGCATTACTATCTCCAGAGACCTTCTGATAGAGCAAGTTATAGTCTCGTACTGTTCTTTACATCATCTGAACTTGATTTTGACAAACCATGTAGAAAGGCTAAGCATGCTCGTTTGATTGATAATCCCTGCAGCTGCTCATTTTTACTGCAAATAGTAGCATGTCCACATCTATTGAGCTTTTAGATAATTATCATCAATATTTTTCCACACAAAAAAGTAATTCATTTATTAACTGCTATTTGAAACAGAGCTGTGTAGCATATTCAGTAATTGAATGGATTTTACATCTATCTGCAAACATTCATGTATTGACTACTTTTTGTTTAGTACTTTATAGTGATGTAAATAAACATTACAGTTTTCCTGGCGTGCAGTCGCAAGAATAGTCTTCTAGAAGTCTGCATGATGAATGTCCTCTGGATGTATGCCACTTACTTGTTGGCACAATTTCTCAACAGGAAAAGTTGTATCACTGAATTACAATACACCAATTGCCTTATTCAACTAAACGTACATAGAAGAATTCAAGTAAATATATACTTACCTCATTGATTAAGAACTGGAGCTGTAGGACTGCGGCACCACTTTCGTGTTGGCAGTAGCAATCAACACCAGGCCTACCCAATCTGTTGTCATCAAAGTCAAGGATTCTAACATTTCTGTTATCACCAAAAGACAAGAAAAACAAATGGAACTATCAATTCATCTCTAATTAACCTTTAATCAACCTCAATTCTTCTTGCTTTCTGCAAAACGAAAGAATTCAAGCTGACTTCCCACTGCTCTAATTAAAGTATCAACACCATCAGTCAGAAACGTGCAATTGCGAGTGATTTGCTACTGCCTGTTCTCTTTCCTCTGAGAAAAAAAAAGCACAAATTACAAAAATTCAGCAGGATGCCTCTTCAGTTTCTAGAACACCTAAGTGGTTCATACAACACATGAATGTATCAGCTTTTTGTGCTTATGAAAACATTATTTAGTTAATAATTTAGGACTAAGGTCATTGCAGTTCTGTAGCAGGCTTTCTTTTTTGAATCTGAGAAAAAGCTTTTTACAATTAGTCATTTCACACTCATGTAAAAAGCTCACATACAACTAACTATTGCTCTGTCTCATCAACACAGTACAATACAATGCTCCACAGATAACCAAGTCCAGCTCAGAACTACACTGCCTAGACCAATTCTTAGCCCAAGTGAAACCACAGTGGCAACTTAACTGGGTTACTCAAAATTAACACTGATGTATTCCTTTGCAGAGACATCTTGTTGCCCAGATACAGTTTTTTATCTGTCCTCTTTGGATCTTTTCCTTTTGCACTAAATTAAAATCTCCCAAGTCAGATTATAGCATTTCCAGTCAGAGTCAGAGAGTTCAACAATAAATTGCTGTTCCAGAAAATTACCAGGCAGAAAGTAAAGCAAAAGAGGAATATGAAACGTGACCTTATTAATAATATTGTCGTATGAAAGAAGTAAAACACCTCCACATGCATTAATGACAGCAAGCATTATGAAATAAATAGAAAAAAAGATTTTACAAGATAAGGCTTATCTTGTTGTATATGACCAGATCATAAAATCCTGCACAAAAATGCCAGTGATCTACCAATACCGAAGGCAGTGGTCAGAACAGAATGATCTTTACTTTCCCTTTCAAAAGTGAAGAAACTTGCAGTAGACTATTCTGAAATGAGGTACAAAGATGTAAACTCTACAGATTAGTAAATTAGAGAGCTAAAACTTGAAAGTATCCAAAAAATTCCTTTTTCAGTTGTTACAGAAACATTTTAATTGGAGACATCTGACCTGGAAAGACTTGCGCTCTACTCTGCACAAATGGTCTACTAGAAAACTGTAGGTAAAAGAGCATATGAGGGCTGCTCCAAAGGAACGCCTCTTATTTTATTATGTTGGCCCACAAAGTCAAAGGTGGATACTGGTGGTATGGAAGTCCAGGTTGAACCTTCTTGACAATATGCCATTATTCTTTGTTACCAGCTGACAGATGGCAGCAGAGGGGCAGTCTGACAAAATGGCATCTGACACAGAAGTGCATATGAAACAAAAGTTTGTCACAGAATTCCTCCATGTGGAAAAATGGCACCTACTGACATTCATCAATGCTTGCTGAATGTTTCTGGAGGCAGTGAGGCAGTGACTGGTGTGTTTCAGCAGTGGCAGTAGCAACAGTGGGTCACCTCCACTGGAGCAGATTTTTATGAGTGTAGCATGCGGGCTTTTGCTCATTGCTGTAGAAAATGCATAACTAATGGTGGTGACTATGTTGAAAAAGAGTGCTTTGTAGCTGAGAATTTGATCTATCAAGTAGTGTGACTGGGGACTTTGTATCTGTTGTCATTTCCGTGGACAGTAAGAACAGAGAAAAAACTCTATATGCCATTTATTCTCGAACTGCAGTTCTGAGCAAAATCACAACCATTAAAACAGCATGAAGCAGCATATCTTTTAAACAACCTATTTTAAATGAACAATAAAGATATATAGTAGTCTATTATACATTCTAAGGGTTGAAAGTAATTCCTCCATCCATTTTTAATTACTTCTCGTAGTACTCATTTTTTATATTCTCTGTAATGGAAAAGGAATTAATACTTCTGCCAAAACATACCAACCCACAGACCAATCATCCAACAAAGAGAACAAACAATTCCTTTGTTGATTTTAAACCGAGTGGAAATTTTGATCCAATGGGAGCTGGATCTAGATGATTTTTAAGTCCCTTCCAGCTTGAACTTCTGCATCATTCTATGACTTCAACTTAAGCATTATATGCAATGTAAATCCATGACGGTAGCTAATGATTGTCCTTAATGAAAATTATGCTGGTATTGTCCCGAGTAAGCAGCTATCAACTTTCAGCATCAGTATCGTGCTAAATAAGCTTTCTGGGAAACATTCTAACAAAGTCAATTATTTCATTCAGCATATCCCAAACAAACAAAGCACTCTCCAATAATTCACATCTATTTGCCTAAGTGTTCATCCTGAAATACTTCACAAATTACTAAAATGAGAGAGAAATTATGCTGTCTGCTTCAGTCTGGCCAATTGCCCTGAAGTAAGGACCGATGCTTACTTAAATAGAAGCATTATCACTGACTGATGGTGGTTTTCAAACATTCTGGGAGCTGTGTTGAGATCCTTCCAGCAGAAGGAGCTGAAGACATATTATGATTTGGCACATGTTCTTGGCACTTCATCTTATCTTCTGCAAACTTTATGCTTTGCTGCCAAGCATGGAGGAATAAACCGTACCTCACTGAATCTTTTCATACCAGTGTACTCCACCAGGACATACAGCAGAAGTAGTAACAATGAAGGCTTTGGACTGAATTTATTCTTTTATTTTGCCTTTATATGACTTAATTAAACAATGACTTAACTAACAGAGAGAGCGTAATATTTCTGAAAATACTGGAAGAGAAGACTAATTTTGATAGATTTGAATACCTCAAGATAGACATCATGATTTTCAAGGATAAAAACCAGTCACTGGCTATTCTCTCTTATCAGTACACTGGATCTCTCAAGGGCCTTTACAGACATGCCAGATATACTAATTTACACATAAAAGGGAAAAAGATGAAAACTGTCTGAGTCTGTTGGGACTTACAGTAAAACAAGTACAACCAGAATCACATGAATCAAGCGTGACAGTAATAACACTGTAACCTGTAATCCTAGTTTTAAAATCTGAATTTGTGAAACACGGTATTTTGCACTGTTTTCACTTGTATGCAATAGTTTTTCAGAGAATGTTTCCACATACTATTCATGTTACAAGCATCACACATGAACTCCCCTGAACTATGCTGTTTACAGTGCTTCAGATTCCTCCTGTAGCTATATAAAGAAGAGAAGCTGAAGAGTCATCTAAATCTTTTTCCTCAGCAGTCAAAAGGGTGTCAGTTTGAAGTATGAAAACATTCCTGAATAATAAAAAACCCAACACATTCTCCTAGCCTTTAATATTTTTGCCTACTCCCTCAGATATGGGAGTGCAGCTGTGGGGTACAGTAGAAGTAGCACTGCTGACTGTAGGGTGTCCTGTCATTTGATTTGCACTGACTAGTACATGTTTGAGTTCCTACTCAATATGCAGCACTCTAAGAGCAGATGCTTGTGGGCTGGTGATACACTATTACATAAACCAACTGTAAAAGTGGTTTAGCGTGTTATTTGAATATAGGACAGCATTTTCTTGCAGAAGACCTGCTGCTGACTTGAGTGATTTGAGTGGTTTATCAGTTTAAAAAGCCACAAAGTATTCAACAGAATAGCTAGTGAATAAAATACTCAGATGATTCAATCACGTCACTAGCTAGCTAAAGCAGCCATTGGGCTAACCAGCTGTATCTGTCAAAATATAAAATGCTGAAAGATTTTGTCAAAAGATAACGACTATGAAAACATAACATTGCCTTAACATCAAAGTTTATCATTTAGATTTGCAGCTCCAGATGTAGACATATGCAGTTCCTGGAATATTGAGTTTTACTGTTCCTTCCTGGAATCCCTTTAAGCCTCTCATACACTTATTCCCAGTATAGTAATGACAGCACATGTTCTGGTAAAAACAAATGCCACAGTCCTATATTTCCGCATTTCAAATGGGTTTCCAGATTTTTTTTTTTCTTTCTATGAGGTACTGTATCTTCCATTAAACATTTCAAACTACAGAGAATCCATGATTTCTGAAGAATATTGCTCCAGTCTTCAGTTATCCTCACTATGAAGAAAGTTGTGCTATATGTAGAATCAATACACGTAGATTCAGTTTCAAGCTTTTGGATCACATTATGCCTTTCAATGCTAAATTAAATAACTTTCTATTAGCAGAAGTTTCCTGCTGCAGGTACTTAGAAACAGTGATAGCTTATATATTATCCATCTCCTTCATGAATACAAGCACAAAACTCTAAGCTGCATTATTATCATGTCACATAGTAGTTTTGCTAGATCTTGAGTAGTTCTGATCTTTTTTTCGCCTGGATGCTTTATAATTTTTGTAATCTTCTTTAAGATATGGAAAACAGAGCCACACAATCTTAATGCTGACTGCTTTCATACAATGCAAAGCACACAGCATTTTATTGGGCAATCATATTTTTATAATTTTTAAGAATTCTAAATTGCTTTATAAAAAATAATGCCCCCTCACAACCCTCATGCTATTAACCACATGTAATTGAGCTCAGTGAGGTCCTTAAAAATGACCTGAAACCCAATCATACCCATATGACCTTCCATGCGCTGTGGATTCACTGCAAACTGCGTTATCAAACAATAACTCCCAGCACTGTTTTCCTCTTGTTTGTTTTAAATATAGAAGTATTCAGTTTTACAATGAGATTCATTATGTCTTGAGTTTATCCAGCTGTTCAAATAAAGAGCTTCTTTTTTTCCCCTCTGCAAAGAAAAGGTGAATTATCTGCTATGATTGGCTGCTCTCTAGCACTGCTAAGTGCTAGACAGACAAACGTTTGGGCACCCAATAAGCATGAGCTTTTGGTCTAAAATTGCCTCTGTCTTGTTTATTTTTCTTGACATAGATTTCTCCATTCATGCATACAAATTACAGCAATCACAGGAACAGCAGA